CTAACCCAAAGCATCTCCCAAAACCTTACAAGGCTGTCCAGCAGCAAATTCTAGAGAGAATTTGAAAACATATTCAGAAAGTTGCGTTAAGAGCATGAAGAGGCCATCCAGCCCATCAAGTCTATTCTTACGATATATAATAATAAATAATATATAATAATAATCCTTGCATTTGATATTGCGCTTTCATGTCTTCTAGACGCCTAAAAGCGCTTCACAGAATATACTATAAAGTGAATTGACTGTGTATTTGTGGGCAAAAGGCAGCAGCCAGTTGCTCACAGCAGTATCCCACATACTGTCTTGGATTGAAGTGACCAATTTATTATTGTTTTTGTTTCTTGAAGGATTATTATCAGGCGTGTGGAGTAAGGAAACTTGTCCAAGATTTCGCCCTGTCAGGAATCAAACCCAGGTCTCTCACTTGCAAAGCAATTGCTCTCACCACTAAACTACAGGACTCCATTATATTAGATATATTAGACTAGCTGTACCCATTAGAGCTGCGCTTGCAACCAAAGGATACAATAGCGCCATCTGATTCATAGTCTCTGCCTGGATCATAGTTGAGCGCAGCTAAATGGAGTGACCTCTGCTGCTGGACATAATTTTGCTGTGTTCTTGCGTGATTTCTGGGTCCAAGGCCTGCCAGGCTGTTCTTTGAGCAGGAAACTCATTTTGTCGTACTCTTGCAGTCCTTTCAACATTCAAGTCCAGCAGTGTTGTTCTTTGAGCAGGCAATCCATTTTACTGTGTTCTTGCGTTCCTTTCTGCATCAAAGTCCAACCCTGCTGTTCTTTGTTCTTCCGTTTTATTTAATCGGCCTTCTCTCTTCCGCCTGGCATTTTTATTTGTCGTTGAAAGTCTTGATCTTCGCTTCTTAGGCATCCCTGGTTGGGAGGACTTGTTGTTGGGAGGATTCCTGTTGGGAGAACTGCTTATTCGAGTCCATACATGTGTGATGAAGTTGTTTAGGTCATCAATGATAGGAGATCCCCCCCAAAAATAATATGCCATAACACTCCGCCATGCAAGATCCTTCCGATGAAATATAAATGTCTGTACATCAATCGGTTATTGCATTACTGGCGGACACACAGACACACCGACAGATATTTTGTCTTTATTAGTATAGATTATGGCTAATCTTTTAATTCAATTTCCCATCTTTTTTCCCATACCTGTGGGTCAGCCTGTCTCAGTTGGTAGCGCTCTTATCTTCTTCGTTAATTGAAATACCTAAGTCAGATAACCTCTCAATCTTCTCATCTCCAAGGTATATAATCCAGGTTTACCCAGCTTCTCCTCTGAGCCAAGACCTTCAACCCTGTTATAATTCTAGTAAGTTGTTACAGGACACCCTCTTCCTGAGATTAGGTGCCCAAACCTGACCTGTTGTTACAAAGCCGAGCACCCCATTTATAGAGTCCTGTAGCTCAGTGGTTAGAGCACTCACTTTGCAAGCGAGAGACCTGAGTTCAATTCCAGGCAGGGCGAAACCTTGGGCAAGTTTCCTTACTCCACACAGCTAATAATAATCCCTCCAAAACCCGAAACAATAATAAATTGGTCATTTTCAATCTACGACTGTTTGTGGGACATTGCTGTGCGCAATTGGCTGCCGCGTTCGCCCACAAACATACAGTCAATTCACTTTACAGTGTGTTCTGTGAAGCGCTTTGGGATGTCCTCCCGACGTGAAAAGCGCTATATCAAATGCAAGGATTATTATTATTATTAATAATAATATTACCCCGTTAGATTGTTTTCTGCAATTGTGAATTAGATTGTAATAGCTATGGACTTGGGAGTCCTTGTTCCCGTTATTCAGCTGCCCTTCCTACTGCTTCCCCATTCAGAACACATTATCACCTGTAATTTCTGTACTGAAATGTACTATTTAGATTTTCTATGTTAAATTTCAGCTGTTTTTGTTCTGCCCAAATGTCTAATCTTTGTCCCACTGCAATTTTCTGCTGTCTGTTCTCTTCACAATTTACATACACCTCTCAGTTTCATGTCATCAGGAAATTCCTATATTCCTATATCCAGTGAAAAGCTGGGGCTTCCCAGCACGTATCCCTATCAGTTTTGAATAGAAGCACTAAAAACTAGAGGTAAAATTCCAGATATGGGTGTACAATAAATGGGATTTTTTAAAAATGTAAATGGTACAAATTGCATAACCACATTTGCACATTGTACCTGATCTATAGTAGAAGAGGCGAACCCAGGTCTCTCGCTTGCGAGGCAAATGCTCTAAATACTGAGCTACAGGACTCCTAGAATCAATTACCAGATTTCTAGCATGGACTGGCTGTCTGGCTTCCTTGTTATAAAATGGCCAAATGCCAGGTCATCAGGTCTCTGCACACTTCTCCAGTACTGTCCTAGAGCATCAGCATTGACGAGTTACCCAGATCGGGATATTAAACTACAAGTTTCTTGCTCAGAAGTAAGAGTTCGACCAACTAACTGATTTGAGCATAATCCTTTCTCGGCAGACGTTTTTGTTGTTTTTTTTGTTCCTGAAGATCTGTCAGCATATTAATTTGTTTACCAAATGGTTTTAGATGAACTAACATCTGCACTAGCAGCCTGTTGTACAAATTGTAGGTTCTCATTAAATTGGCTAACATCTGGCCTCGCGGTAATTACTTATGTTGTTACTATTCACTGGGATATTTAATTGGTTAGAAAAGCTGAAATAACAGACTAACTGCAATTCAATCCGAATGATGAAGGTTGGATTTTTGGATTAATAAGAGACTATTCAATTTTGAATTCTACTGCGAGTCCACCCTTCATATGGTTTTGCTGTGATACTGAAGCACATGTTAGTTTAGATTCAGAATAAAGAAAGGCTTTTCTTTCCAAAGCGAAGATCTTGCGTACCAGAGGTTCCGCAGGCAATCATTGAACCGGATCAGTTATCAGTTTTCATGCGGGGGTGAGGGGGAGTAAATTTAGAGCAACAATATAGTTCCTAATGTGCAGAGTCAGATCTGCTGTTGGGAAGTTGAGCATATCAAACAGTAACTCGAATTGTATCGAAAATGTAATTAACAATGAAAATACAAATAGTAGAATTGCAAGTTCTAATGAAATTTACAAGCAAGCTTTTATTTCATCTCTTGCTGGAAAGAGCTATGCTGCACTGTACTGAAGCCCTTCTGAACGCCCACCACATCTTTTATTATTGCCTTAGGTTCTCGATTGAAATATTTACTGTGATTGTCATTCAGTTTCCCAGAAAGTGCTGACGCCATATGTAAGCTTTGTGTAAACAGCGCTTCAGAGCAGATGGATATGTTCTTTTAAGGTTTAACTTGGCCTTTTCCCGTTAAAATGCTTTCTCCACCACATCACTGCATTGGAGGACAGTAATGGGTTCTGTCGCTCTCAAACAACGGTGCGAGGCTGGAAGATTTTTAATTTGTTTTTAATCATTTGAAACAAGCACATTGCTAAAGGAGATGTGTCATTTTTTCCAACTTCTCGACTGTGTTTTCTGAACACTTTATTTTCAGATGTTGCAATATCTTCTTGTATTAAATATTAATGTTTTAACCAATTCAATGAGCCTTTTGAAATGCTTCCCTTGGCAGCATAAGAAAGAGCTATCATGATCAGCTCAGTATCTTATGCATCAAAGGACATTTATACATTTGCCTGAAATTAATTAAAAATGTTTGTCTGTTGGGGAACATTTTTTCAAACTGCACCTAGTTTTTAAGATGCAGCAATGCGTAAGAGTATGTACTGGTGTGTTTATGTAAGAGAGCCTCCAGTCTCAGCTCAGCTCACACAAGGCAGATCTTGACCTCTTTCCAATACTAGGTTTGGATGAACTGCCAGACCAGTTAACTGGAACAAAACTAGAGAATTGAGACACTGGAGAGTAGATTATCTTCACTCAGCATGTGGCAGGCCGCAGGCCAGTGCACTACTCGTCCTGGAAGCTATCTCAGTAATTAAGTATCAGGGGTAAGACATGGATGGGGATTATTAACTTGCTAAAGCAAAGATAGAAGAGGCTAGTTGTTAGGGGAGTTAGATTGAAACAGAAGGGGAGACATTAAATGGAGTGCCTCAGGGGCATATTTCAGGGACTCCTCTGATTATAGAATATAATATTTGCAGAAAGCAGAGTACACTCTGGTTCATTGTTATAGTTGTTTATCTGTCCAATGAAATACTGTCATTAAAATAATACGCTTAACCGATACAATATATTTTGATACAAACACTAAAGACGTTCAGGAGCATATTAATGCAACAACTTTTCTGTAGCTTAATGGTTAGAATACTTGCCTCGCAAACGGAGAGACCTGGGTTCGATTCCCGGCCGGGCGAAACGTTGGGCCTCTGTTTCCCTAGCAGTAAGTAGGAACCGGGTCATTAGTCGATTGTAGGATCACTTTTCCTGGGGTAATAATTCCCTCAAAAAGAATAATAATGATAAATTGGTCACTCAATCCACTCCATCCCCCAGTGCCTTCGCCTTGCTTCCTCCCTTTCCTCCTTCAAGGCCAGTCTCAAGACTTTTCTCTTTGACCGTGCCTTCAGCTCCCCTCTCAACTCTCTACCCCCTCCTCGCTCCCTCCCTTCCCTCCCATCACCCTGACCATTTCCCACCTGCTCGGGTCCTGACCCAACTGTCCAGCGCCTTGGGACGTCCTCCCGACGTGAAAGACGCTCTATAAATGAAATCTTGTTGTTGTTGTTGTTGTTTATGGGACATTGCTGTGCGCAATTGGCTGCTGTGTTTTGCCGACAACATAAATTCACTCTGCAGTATATTCTGTGAGGCGCTTTGAGATGTGATAAGGCACCATAACAAATGCAAGGATTATTATTAGTAGTAGTATTATTAGGATTATTTTTCTTATTATTCACCTTGATTTTGCAGTTCAGTATGGGAATAAGCACAAGCACATTCCTGGTCATATCCCAGTACTTTTGAAATTGCTACTAATTCCCTTTTTCATGTTGACCAGCTCTGGCTGCTCAAGCTCATGCGCTGAAAGAAGAAAATGACAGTCTGAGGTGGCAGCTCGATGCATACAGAAACGAGGTGGAGCTGCTCAAACAGGAGCAGGGGAAGCTCTACCGGACTGAGGAAGACCACACCAAGGATCAGCAACTGCGCTTTCTTCAGCAGGCAATGCAAGGCATGCAGCAAGTAAGTGAATACCTCTCCAACCTGCTCACACCCCACTCCTCAACCCACCCCCTTTGGTCATCTAGCTCCAGCCTTCTTTCCGTCCCTCGACCCCTCTGCTCCACTGTCAGCAGCCGTGCTTTCAACCACTATGCCACAAACCTCTAGAACTCTCTGCTTCAATCACTCCAACTCGCCCCCGCTTCGTCTGTCTTCAGATCATGGGGTCACGGGGAGGTGATATATATATTTTTCCTCTTTGACCGTGCCTACAGTCACCTCCCCTTTCTCTCCAGCTCAGCGATAAGTTCAACTACTGTTAAGCGCTCTGAGACTTTACCTCACGTGAAAAGGTGCGATATAAATGCAAGTGTTGTTGTTAAATAAACAGCGTATCACAAAAAAATCCTTGTATTTAAAATCCTCAAAATTTAATAATAATAATCCTTGCATTTGATATAGCGCTTTTCACGTCGGGAGGACGTCCCAAAGCGCTTCACAGAACACACTGTAAAGTGAATTGACTGTATATTTGTGGGCGAACGCGGCAGCCAAAAGCGCACAGCAATGTCCCACAAACAGTCGTAGATTGAAAATGACCAATTTATTATTGGTTTTGGTTTTGGAGGGATTATTATTAGGTGTGTGGAGTAAGGAAACTTGCCCAAGGTTTCGCCCTCTGCCTGGAATTGAACTCAGGTCTCTCGCTTGCAAAGCGAGTGCTCTAACCACTGAGCTACAGGACTCCTTATCATGGCATCAAAATATCTCAAAGCACTTCACAGGATTTTTACTGTACAATGTAATGACTGTGTATTTGTAGGCAAACATATTAGCTAAACTGCACTCAGCAGTGTCCTACAAGCAGTCATTAATTAAATGATCATTTTTTATCAGTACACCGGGAGAGTTTCCTTTTTTTGAATTGTGCCATGGGATTTTTAACATCCAGCTGAACAAGCAAAATGGACCTCAGTATTTATCAAAGTATCTCTCTAGTTCTGTTTAAGGTAAGGCAGTGAGGAATTTCAAGGCTTATGTATGGATTGGATCAATCTTGAGTGTGATTGCCCCACAGTTGAATACTTACTCACTTTCCTGTAAGTGACGGTCCACAGCCAACTCCTTAACCAGAGTCAGATATCAATCTTAGTCAGGAAAGGAAAGAGTGAATTATTGCCTTTACTATAATTTATTCTGGAAGATCACAGAGCATTCTATGCTTCATTTGATAAAACCATGCAATCATTGCCATGTAATGATGAAAGCTACAACAACTTGATTTATATAATGCCCATCACACAGGATAGCATGCCAGAGAGCTGCAAAACTAGTATTAAACTATCATGTAAAAGGCCACAGCTGATTTGGAATACTCACAAAGCAGAGTGATTGGGAATCATTGGTACCTTGGGCTGATCACTAAAACTAGGAATCTATCATCCCAACTTTACAATAGAAATGCGCATTATAAAATAGCAAACAGATTGCTATTTATATATGATTGGAGTATGACAGACTGCAGTGTTGAATCAAAGCCAAACATGGCCAGATGTTTCCTTTCCAAATGAAACAAAAAAATTAATGTACACAGATCTGATGATTGATTTAATGGTCTGAATTTGTCTGAATTTCTGGAATTTTTTTGACTCATGATCATTTATTCATGGCTTTTATGTCTGGTCAGCCGAGGCAATTCATTGCCAAAGTATTTTCACGATGTTTATGGTAATGTCTTAGGTGGGTTGATAGTATAGAATGTTCAAAATTATAATTACAGCCGTGTGGTTTGAATAATATTCTATTGAGTGAGAATGTGGCATTTCAGCTAATGGAAAGCATACTACATGAGCAGAAGGATATAATTATGTTCCTACCCAAAATATGCAGGTGTTGCTCAGCATCTACCAAAATAAAGGCTATGAATTTTAAAATAGTAAGTTTTGTAGGAATATTTATATTCTATGTCAAACTATATCACAAAGCCTGCATAAGCCAATCTTGCCACTGAGTCAGAAGCCTGTAGTGAGTCCCATATCGGCGAGATCTTTGTTGAAGCTGTAGTGCAGCGGAGGTGCCATTCTTTGGCTGACACATAAAACCAAGGTCCGGTCTGCCTGTTCAGGCAGTCGTTAAAGATCCTGTGGCACCATTCAAAAAGCAAAGGGAGTTTCTTCCGATGTTATTGCTGACAGTCTTTCAGATAAAATTCAGCATTTATTTCATGGCTGTTTGTAGGACATTGAGGTGCACAAAATTGTCCTTTGTGTTTGCTACAAAAATACACAGTCACTACATTTTATAGTAAATCCTGTGAAATACTTTGAGATGTTCTACCCAATGCAAAATGCACTATATCAAAATATCAAATGGAAAGGATTTCTATTATTGTTTCTGAAGGTAATAAAATAATCATATGTTAAACAATTGTGTTGCAACCAACAGCTTTTATTTTCTAATACTTTTTTTTGTTTCTAAACAGCAATTGCTATCACTTCAGGAAGAGTGCAGAAAGAAGGAATTGGAACTGGAGAGAGTAAAGGACGAAAAATCTCAAGTACAATCATTGCTTACAGTCCTCAAAGAAAAGGTAATAATATTCAGTAATTATCAGAGTTTAAAATTAGCTTGTTGGTAAATTAACATCAGGGAATTATGTTGTTCACCTACAAATACACAGTCGCTACATTTCACAGTATTTTTGGGGAGTCAGCCAGGTACCTGGCACATGCGGAAACCCATCACTATGCTTACGAATATCCAAACCAAACAAGAGATCCATGCATCTGACCTACTCGTGTATTGGAAAGGAATGCACACTCTCTCCTTGTTCTGCTTATTTAATTCAGAGAGTATTAGACAGGCAAGAGCCAAGGCTTGGGGACCCCAGAGTGTGTGTTGGGTAGTACTGGAGTTTAGCTTCACAGTAAAATCTTTTGAAGCTTTGAGACATTCCAACAAAGTGATAACATGCTATATTAAACGCAAAGATCATTATTATAATAAATAATTATTAATTATAATAATCTAAATCAATGTGTCTGTAAGAGTGTGTCTAGAATGATAATCTAAATACAATGTGTTGTAAAGCTCTGTTTTTAATTTGCAAGTGGAGGAAATTATTAATAAGAGTGGAACTGTTTGGATTTACATTGGACTGAGGTTATAGATCTATTATAGAGGTTGTAGAGCAATTATAGGTTATAGAATGGAATTGGGACATATCAGTCCCATGTGAAATTAACACATGTTGGTTTATAAACTGAGAAATGTTGACAAAATAGTATGGGTCTGCTTCCACAAGAGTAACTGGACTCCCAGTTTATAGTAACAAGGTGAATTGCCAACGCTGCCATAGGAATGCTAAAACAATACATTACAAATTTGCATTTATATAGCACCTTTCATATCAGGTTTGAGCTGGGTGGGGGGAGGGAGAAGGTGGTTGAAAGCGCTTATGTTGCAGTTATCGTAAATGCAGAAGGAAACCCCACTCATCACTGCAAGTCAACATTTTTCTTGGTGTTAACCTTAAGACCAGTAATTTAAAATTTAACACTCATTGTTTTTCAACATCAACAAGAACAACTTGCACTTATATAGCTCCCTCCACGCAGGGTAGTGTCTCAGAGCACTTAACAGTGGCAGAGCCTGACTCTGAGCCAGGGCGAGGGGAGAGGGGGAAAGAGGCCATAAGCACGTTCGAACAGGAAAGTCTTCAGGCGGGACTTGAAAGAGGGGAGAGAGGGGGCAAGGCAGAGCGATTGAGGGAGAGTGTTACAGAGTTTTGAGGTGTAGTGGCTGAAAGCGCGACCTCCAATGGTGGGGCGGAGGGTGCGAGGGACGAGCAGGCGGCCGGTACCAGTCGAGCGGAGGCACCGGGTGGTGGATTGGGGAGTGAGGAGGTTGGAGAGGTAGGGAGATGCCAGGGAGTGAATGGATTTGAACACGAATGTGAGGATCTTGAAGTCGATCCATTTGGTGATGGGGAGCCAGTGGAGCCTGGCCAGAACTGGTGAGATTTGGGTCTGGAGTTTGGCCTGGGTCAGTGTGCGGGCAGCAGAGTTTTGAATGAGATGGATCTTGTGAATGGTAGAGCTGGAGAGACCAGCGAGAAGTGCATTGGAGTAATCCAAGTGGGAGGTGACAACCGCATGCATGAAGGTTTCAGCTGCACTTGGGGTAAGGTATGGTCGGAGGCGGGCAATGTGGCGGAGGTGGAAGAAAACGGTCCTGGTCAGTTTGAGGGAGAGCCCAGGGAGGTTGAGGAGTTTAGATCAGTATGGCTTCCATCTTGTCCATATACACCTCTGTAAAAACATGTGATATTAGTTCTACTCAAAAAATAGTCTTGATGTGTCAATCTTGCCTGTAATCCATAAAGAAGTTAATTTGGTACAGGAAATGGTAGCACCCCAAAACCTGTATAGTGGTATTCATCATTCAGCTCTCATCTGTGGCCGTCTGTAGACTTGCTATTCATGTGTTTAGTCCTTATCTTGTCACAACCCTCCAAGCTCTGCGTATATGCGCATCTATAAACCAAAGATATGGTTGCCATTGACAAAAGGTTGGTGGGTAACTCTGACCGATATCCTATCACGTTAACAGACATTAGTACCGAATGTTCAATAGTTAACTTCATATCTCCCTTCAAAGAAGCACACACTCATATCCCATAAAACTTTATACCTGGCAAATTGTCCGAAACAATTCGACTTCCTTGGCAATGAGTATCAGGGTCATAATATTGGCCAACTTTAATTATCCAAGGATAGAATGAAAAAAAACAAATGAGTGTGGGCAGATGGAAAAAATATTTTCAAACAAATTGAAGATTGTTTCTTAGTTCAATGTTAGGATACTGACTGGGAAAAAACTCAGTGTTTGATATTGTGCTAGGGAATGAGTCAGGATAGGTGAGCGACTTCAAGGTAGGAGAAAAGGAAAAGAGAAGAGCCAGGGTACTGTAGGCCAATGAATCTCACCTTCATTGTAGAGAAGCTGCTTGAGATCCAAATAAGGGAAGACATTATGGAAACATTTAGAAAAGAACAGAACTGATGAGGAATTGATATTCACAATCCATTGGACCGCAATTCATTTTGCTTCTTATTTGACATGGCCAATCATCCCTTGCTCATCGAATTGTGTGCCCTCCGTTGATATCATTGGGAACTGGCATGATTTAGAAGGGTTAAGCATTTTGTGCTAGATCTCCATTCTTACTCGCACAATCCACTTCATTCCAAGGTGTTCAGTAATCCTTCTTATTCAGCAGTTATCTCAAACCTGTGTCACAGACACATTTTAAATCAATGTTCTGCTCACATTATAACTAAGTCATTCAACTCTCATCAATTCCACTAGGATTACCACCATACTGCAATAGATAACTTGTCCTTATCTTCGCAATTGAACAAAACCGCTCACTTTCTTTTTNCCTAAAATTTAGAGCAAGTGAACCTGGAACAGACAACCAGTAAGATATCAATTAATCATAACGAATATAATTCCTCACAGCAGAATTAAATAGAACCATATAAATTTACAGCACAGAAGGAGGCCATTCAACCCATCGTAACTGTGCTGCCTCTTTGAAAGTGCTATCTATTTAATCCCATTCTCTTGCCTTTTTCCCAGACTCTTTTATATCTCTCGTTTTCTATTATTTATCTAGTTCCCTCTTAAAATCTAATATGAATTCTACTTGAACCTCCGTTCTCAGCAGGGCATGCCCTGTCTTAATAATCCTCTGAGTAAAAAAAAATCTCCTAACCTGTCTGTTTGCTCTTTTGGTAATTACCTTAAAGTTATGGCTTCTAGTTACTGACTCACAACCAGTAAATATAATTTTGTTCAGTTTACATTCTGAAAACCCCTCGGAATATCAAAAAACAGGCCTCATCTTTAATCTCTCTGCTCTTGGGAAAACAGTCCTGTTTTTTCCTTATTAAGTAAAATCTAACATCTCTGGTATAAACCTAGTGAATTTCTTCTACGGTCTTAACATTCTTCCTATCGAGGGGTACGTAAAACTGAGCCCAATACTCAGCCCAATGATCTCTGTAGGTTTAGCTTTACACATTTGCTTTTTTATATTCTACCTCTATAAAACCTTGGATTCCATTAGCTCTGTTTTATAGCCTTGTCAAATCCCATCTTTACAGATATGTTTATACTAACCTCCAGGTCTCCTTGCTCTCCAACTTGATCATAAAATATACAGTCAATTCACTTTACAGTATATTCTGTGAAGCGCTTTGAGACGTCTCGAAGACGCAATAAGGAGCTATATCAAATGCAAGGATTATTTTTATTATTACCTCCTTTTAAATGTGTCTGTATTTTGCAAATATTTTGACTGAAAGTGTTAGACAAATTTTGGGTGTTACTTTCTGAGCATAAAGTCATTATAGCAAATATTTTAAGCGAAATGCCAAATAGATTGTCGAACATTAAATGCTTTCCAAGCTTGCTCCATTTATGGAGAGATCTAAATTATATTTCTAGACTGAAATAATCTTACAGAAAAGTAGAATTTGTATCTGATCAGGGGTTCTTATGTTGGCAAATGCACTTATTGGTATTTTCTTGTGATGGGGAAATCCCATTGTAAGTGCACACCATCAACATTAGCACATATTATTTTGTTAATCGATTGGAGGATTGCTTTCTGGGGGTACCAGCGACTGTTTGTGGGACACTGTTGTGCGCAATTGGCAGCTGAATTTCGCCCAAAAAATATACAGTGAATCCACTTTACAATATTTTCTGTGAATCCCTTTGAGAAGTCTCAACAAAATAATAATCATAATAATAATCCTTGCATGTGATATAGCGCCTTATCACGTCTTCGAGATATCTCAAAGTGCTTCACAGAATATACTGTAAAGTGATAAGGGGCTATATCAAATAAATAATAATAATATTCCTTGCATTTGATATAGCACCTTATAACGTCTTGGCGATGTCTCAAAGCACTTCACAGAATATACTGTAAAGTGAATTGATTGTATATCTTGTGGGTGAAATGCGGCAGCAGCAGTGTCCCATAAACAGTCGTGGATTGAATGACCAGTTTTTTTAAAGGAATTATTACCCCCTTCAATGCAACGACTATTATTATTATCAATACAACCCCCAGGGTCAAGGTCAGTCAATAATATTCATTATTCCCCAACATTTTCTCCCATTAAATTCCCTTTCAATTTTCATTTATGGGTCAACCATAACCAACCACAGTTAATCTTAAAAACTATCTCAGTATCTATTCATTTTACTAACTTCAAATAAACCACTGTTTTTCTTCAAAAATGTAATTGTTTTCAGAATTGTGCAGTAAACCACAGAATAGAAAGTTGTTCAATGTTTGAGGCAAAATTATGAATTCCTCCAATTTCCTACATAGTGATATAATGGTATTAACTCAATATCTAAAAGGAAGTGCTAGCTAAATAATATCATATCAAAATAGATTCAACATTTCGATTCTTCTTGAGATCTGTGGCCATATAATTTATCCATTTTAATGCATCGTCATATGTCAGGTCCTATAATCTCATTTCCAATCTAGTTATCTGTTTAAAT